CAAGTAAATTTATTTTTCAAATAAATACTATTATCTAAAAAAATTCAGTGATTCAGGTCCCTGTGGGGAACCCATCCCCGTTGGGGATTGGGGATGGAGGACAAATTTTATCCCCGGTGGGGATCGGGGACGGGGACGGTGGTTACTTTTATAATCGGGGTCAGGGACGGGGAATATAATCCCCGCCCCGAACCTGCTCCGTTGCCATTCCTAAGTACAACCAAAGGTTTTAAGGGGAACGGTAAACAACTCTTTATCAGGATATAAAAGGGTGAATGGAGGTTTCATGTCAAGAACCCGTGAAGGAATTCGGTTGATGAGATATACTGCTGTAAGAATGGCATCTCCCCATAAACGTATAGGCACATTGGAGTTAAACATGATGCTTCTAGCCACCTCATATGTGTTTATTCTTTCTCTCAGCAACCCCATTCCATTGAGGTGTATGAGGACAAGTACTCTGATGGATAATCCCATGGTCAAGCAAATAAGAGGCTAATGGTTTTGCAAAGTATTCTTTCGCATTATCGGATCTACAAATTTTGATTTTGACCCCAAACTAGGTTAAAATCATCTGATGAAAGATCCAGGTCAAGGCAGGAACCTCATCTCAAGAACGCATAAGGTAAACCCAAGAAAAACGGGTATAGTCATCAACAAATAGCAAGAAATATCTATGCCCCCCATAGTAGTGATGTGATAAGATCCCCAAACATCGGTATGCACAATGTCAAAAGGAATACTACTTTTATTACTCAATGAATAAGTTGTTCTACAATGCTTTGCAAGCTCACAACTTTCACATCTCAAACTGGACATCTGGACAGACTCAAACAAACTAGGAAACAAACTCTTCAAAGACCGAAAAGATAAATGACCCAACCGATTATACCAAAGCATAACCTAACCAACAGACTGAGAAACAAAAGACCTCCTGGCTTCACTATCTTCCCAATGAAAACTCCATCCAAGCAGATAGATTCCATTCATCTCACGGCTAGTCCCAATCACCTTCCTTGTCTCCAAATCCTGAAAAACACATCGATCAGGGAAAAAAGTCACTGAACAATTCTGGTTTTTAGTAATGCTACTAACTGAAAGCAAAGTAGTACTAAGTTTAGGAACATGCAAAACCGAAGACAAGGAAATGGCATTAGACAACTTGAGGTCTCCCTTGCTAGAAATGGGAACAAAGGAACCATCAACAATGGACACTTTGTCTCTGCCAGAAGATAAGTGGTAGGTAGTAAACAGTAAGGGTGAGCCAGTCATATGGTTAGATGCACCTGAGTCTATTACCCAACAATGTTCAATGTTACCTGGAGCTGAAGCATGATAAGTTGAGGCCCAAGTACCTGAATGAGCAAAAGCTAAGGTGGGAGGAGCTGATGGCGGCTAAGGTGATGGAGCTGAATTACCAACTTCACTTTCCAATTGAGTCAAAGCAGCCCAGACAGCATCTAGGGTGTCTAGTGATGTGCCTCTTGTGCCCGATGAGGTTGCACAATCAGTATTAACAGCCATATTAGAATTACCTTTTTTGTTCTTGAGTTTTGCTGGAACTAGATGATGATGCAACTTCCAACAGGTGTCTCTAGTATGCTTAGGTTTCTTGCAATGTTCACATACTAGGTCCCTCTTGTCCTCCTTCATATCTCTCTCCTTATCACCCCCAGACTTAGGTTTAACTGCTGACAAGGCTGATTCGAAGGGTTGATGCTGCAACATAACCTTTCTCCTAGTCTCTTCACTGTGCACTAAGGACCAGGCTTGAGATAAATAGGGTCACACTGTCTCTTGTCAGTAGTTGTTGTCTCACAATATCATATTCAAAATTCAGACCAGCTAGGAACTCAAAAACCCTATTAGTTTCAACCTACTTTCTGCAAGTCTGTGCATCCTTCTAACTTTCCCACTCAATTGTTTCTAGGTGGTCAATTTCATGCCACAAGGATTTCAATGTTGAGAAGTAAAAGGAGACTGGTTTCTCTCCTTGCTTAAGATTATTAACCTCACATTTCAGCCATAAGCCCTAGCAACATTAAGGGGTTGGGAGTAGGTCTCTTTCATGATATCCCAAATTTCCTTAGTTGTTTTTGCCCACAAATAGTTTCGGCTGATATGTGGCTGCATGGAGTTGCACAACCATGTCATAACCAAATAGTTCTCCTGAACCCATTTGGCATAAGTTTGGTCCTCAGTTGGTTCCTTCACATCCCCCAATAAATAGTTCAGTTTTCCTCTACCCCCAATGGCCATCATGGCTGATTGGGCTCATTCTAAGTAGTTTGATCCATCAAACTCAACAGTTGTAATCTGAAAGGTGTTCTCAGACATGTTACCAGAACCACCATTCCCCAAAACACCTTCCCCTTGGGTCTTAAACTCTATTCTTGGTTAAGAGTTAATCAAAAAACACTTTTTTAATCATTGTAAATTTGTAATAAGAGAAACTGCACCCAGAAATTGATAACAGCCAACCTAGGAGGATGAATTAGGTTCAGCAACTACCCCGAAACAGTGAACAGCTCTACTAGATCTCCAGAGAGCAAAAAAGAATTCAGATTGAATAGAAACAGGCCCAATACTGCCCCGGAATCAACAACAGTCTTGAATTTTTAGTGTTTTCTCTTAAAACCCTAAAAAACTCAGGAGAAGAGAGGAGATTTACCAGCCGCACCTCACAGAATAAACAAAAATAATTTTTTTAAGATCGATCTCAAGGAAAGCAACTTCATGAAAAAATTCTGGCCACCACCTTCTAACTGATGTCTAAACCCTAATCTTGAGGATTCGAACCTTCTTCTGATTCTTCCTGATCACTAGAACTCTCCAAGGCTCTACAATCTCTTTAGTAGCAGCCACACACTGCCAGTAACCTCCAAGAATCAGCCGATTCACCTTTTTCTGCTGAAAACTTCCAAACCTAGGAAGTTCTCATGTAGTCGGCCTGATTAGACTAGCATAAGAACTCCTAGGTTGGCTCTGGTACCAAGTAATCGAATAAGACTACAATCTGTCCTAGGTTTAATGAGAAAAAGGCAAACAAAGATTGAAAAGAAGAAGAAGAGAAGAGAAGAAGAACTCGAAGGAATTCAGAAAAGAGAGAGTGACTTACAATAGCCGCCCCACTCTTATAATTTATATTAATATTCGAATGACAGTAAAAGGGCTGAATTACCCTTACTGCTTACATGGCAAAATAATAAAAGAAAACTAATAACAAAAGGCTGAAATAAACTACCAACTAACAAACTGAAATAACTAAAATAACTAACTGTCAATTACTGGCATACGAACACAGTGGGGACCACATCAGTGTTCTCTACAATTATTTAAAGTAAAAAGCAAGTACAATGACAAGTATGCCCTTATATGGCGGCTGAACATAAATACTCAATAAAGAACTTAAAAAAGGCACTCTAAAAGACTCCAAAGGGTCCCAGCAAGTGTGTTGTCGTGCCCACTACCTATGAACCTATCTAAACAAATAATCAATAAAATTAACTCATAAATCTACACACAATCCTCAACATTGTCAACCAGCCAAATAGGTTCAGATTAGAGAAAATAGCTAATTGTGAGTGAATAAATAGGTTTCAGCAATGGAAGAGGAAGAATAGAGAGGAGAAGAGAAGAGAAGAGATAATTTGAGAGAAACATATCATGGGGCTCAATGTAGGACCCCATTGCTTTTATACCTTTTTAATAATAATAATGGCCAAATTGCAAATCTGCCCCTAGTAAGATGGCAGCAGTTATAACACCTTATAGCAACTTTAAAAATATGGCACAACCCACTAATAATGTTATTCTACTATATTTATCAAAAAAAAATAATGTTATTCTACTAGTTCGAACAAGAGAGAGAGCACAAGAATCCAGGGGTGTCAATAGAATGAATCGACCCCCACCCTCAAAGAGTCCTATATATTAATGATATGTATAATTACAATAAAGCCCTTACAAGGCTGAAAGAAGAGGAAAAGAAATAAGAAAATATATGTAAGAGTAAAACAGGGACATTAATATTACAATACATCAAGACTCTCCACACTCCCCCTCATTTTGATGCAAAGACATAAGCATCAGTTTGCCCACAAGAAAGATAGAACCAGAAATAAACAAGTCTCTAATGAAGTGCCGGTCCACCTCAATGTACTTGGTCCTCTCACGAAAAACTGGATTAGATGGAATCTTGATAGCACTGGTGTTATCGGCATAGAGAGTAGTAAGAAATTGATCAAAAAAAATATAGAGTAGTAAGAGTAGGGAGATGAACACCAAGGTCTACAAAGAGATATTGAAGCCAAACTATCTTATTACAAACAGATGACATAGCCCTATACTTGGCTTCTTTAGATGACTTGGAGACTGTCTATTGTTTCTTGCACTTCTGGGAAATGAGGGAATCACCCATAAAGCACACAACCGGTCCTCAGTTGGATAGGAGAGGAGGAAGAAAAGAATAGTCTCTGTGATAACGTGCATGAACATAACAAGAATCCGATGAACAACAATCACGAGAGGCTAATGAAGAGCAGAAGCTAACTGACTAACAAGTTGTTGATATAGAGTGGCATCAGGAAGTAAAGAGCCTTTGAACTTAGATAACTTGTCATTCAGCTCTAGAGGGGTATCAACCTATTTGTCATCAGTAATACCAGCCAATTTAACAAGATCAAAGGCATTATTGGTGCTGACAAACAAAGTATCCCCAATCACTACATTGGACTTCATGTCCTAATCATATGAAAAGAACTGTGGAGAAGAGCTAAACCGGTATCAGAGCAACAAAGCTATTTCTTCTTCTAACTCTTTTCTATGGTAGATAACATGGTATCAAAGCTAAACCTGATTAGATGAAAAATGCAATTGTAATAGGCTATTGTACCCATTAATTGCTTCATGTGATAGATAATTGTTGTGGTTTATTTATGTATGTTCATATGATCCAACAACATTGGCTTCTAAAGACTGATTAAGGATATTTTATATAGGTTATGCAAAAACCCCTTTCATGTTGGATGCTCCTGTCTCTGGAGGTGTGCTTGGTGCAGAAGCTGGGACTCTCACTTTCATGGTTCTGTTTTAAGCTTAACTTTGTTACAATGCATTGAAGTTAACTCTTCCTAGTATAACTATGCTCCTTTAGATTGAAGACTGCAGGAGTGACTGTATATATATCCTACTCTTTTTTTTTTGGCATGATTAATTTAGCTATATAGTAAATAGGGAGATTGATACACTTCTCCAATGAATTCACTTCCATTTTATTATTTTTATCCTTGTTAACACAAAAAACAATGGAGTGGATGCAAAAGTTAGGGCTAACTCAGTCCAGAACCTTTGCTCAATGTTGGGTTACTGCCCAATACAGGAACCACTTCGAGGGGGTTCACCTCCACAGAGAAGGAAGAAGAAGAAGAATTCAGAAGAAAATATCTCTCACCTCCCTCTCTCCTCTCAAGACTACTATTTATACTATTTTATTACAATCATTATTTACTTATCGGTTCGTAACCGATTCTGACTACCCATGTGCAGATTCCAACTGATTAAACTGATGTGTCCTTCCTCCGAGTGTACACAAAATGAATTGGGTGACAGGCCTGGTTCTCTCCCTCTGCTTCTGGGTGGTCATCTGCATGGGTCCTCTCCTGGGCTTGAGTCTCAGCTGAGCATGATGGGCCCTCCGGGTTCCCAACACTCAACCTGCTTGCACCTTTATTTGATCAAGTTCAGCTTCAGGATCAGGGGAAAAATAAAACATAACTCGGTTGTAGAGCAGTTGGGTTTTGATTATTTCCTCGCTTAGGACAAGAGAAAACAGAATCCCATCATCCTAAATTATACATGATATAAATTTCTAACCTTGTGCTGAAAACCTTATCCAGTTATTCATTTATCAAGAACCGTCAATTAGTTGACTTTCTGCATGATGTGCCACCAGATAAATTCTCATAATTTGATGTTCCTACCTTTTGTGATGTGTAGTCTTCTTGCCAATGGATAACTGTATCTTGTTTAGCAACTCAAGTTTTACCTTTGATGAAATCAAGGATACTCTAATGCTAGAACTGTTTGGATTGGTATCTGAATGCTAGAACTGTTTGTTTAGCAACTCAAGTTTTATCCATTTGTAATAAAAAACCACAACTTTTTATATTACTTTTTAAGAATAGAAGCTGTCAATTCAACTCAGGTTGGTGGGTTAGAGGAAGTTTATCTGGCTGCAAAACCCTTATTTCTCTCAATGGGAAGACATGCAATATATTGTGGTGGGCCTGGCAATGGTGTTGTAAGTTCTCTTATATAATCTTCACTAATTAATTTCTTTTTGAAAGCTTATTATTTGTTAATTCCTATAAAAGAGGGTACTGAAATAATATATATGTTATGTTCTATTCCATGTGTTTGCTCATTTTGCATATATTCTTCAGTATTCAGTGGCCTTTAAGTGACATTGTATTTTTTTCCTTATTAGTGCTTTTCCATGTGCTTCATTCAGTCCTTTTGGATAAGATTGTAAGACAGTGACTTTTCATCAAGCAACGAAAATAACCAAAGAGTATTTGAAATAACATGATGCATTGCTCTATAATTGTATTGGGGTCTAGACCTGCAAACTCTCCTCAACAATTAGTTTGGAGAAAACAATGGTGAGGTTCTAGTAAGAGACAGCCATAGAGGCTGGTCGGGAGGTTACTGTACTTGTTTATTGTCCAAATATGGCCTATGCTGTGTTTAGTCAATTTATGAAATCCCCTAGAACATCTCACCATGAGGCTGCTGAGAGGGTTTCTAGGTACTTGAAGAATCATTTAGGAAAGGGGCTTCTCTTCACTAAACATGGGCACATGTAAAGGCCTATATTGATGTTGACTGGGCTGTCTCAATGGATGATTGAAGGTCCACTACTAGTAATTGTATTGTAGTTGATAGAAATTTGGTGACTTGGAGAAGCATAAAGCAATATGCTGTGATATGATCTAGTGCAGAGAAAGTAGTATTTGTGTCATTGCACATGAAGTGGTTGAAGTTTTATGGCTGTAGATATTGTTGGCTGAGTTGGGATTCCCTATATTTGGTACTGTGTTTTCCTACCATGGCAAGAAGGCAACCATTAACATTTCTCACAACTCCATCCAACATAACAAGCCAAACATGTAGAGGTTGTTAAGCATTTCATCCGTGAAAAGGTGGAAAGAGGATAAATTTGTCTTCCTGTTGTAGTCTCTGAGGAGAAAGTATGCCAAAGTTGGTTTGGATGAAAGAGAAGAAAGGTGAGAGAGAACAGTATGGATGTGTCTACACAGACCCAGAAATAGATATTTATATTAAATACATAAAAGGACAATTCTGTCCTCAAGATACAAATAATGTACAAAAAAGTACAAGAAAAAGAATCTAGTATACAAGGAGTATAATATAAATATAATCCCAATATACAGAAAACGTAAAAAGACAAAATTAACTCTCTTTGTCTCCACACTCCCCCTCAAACTGATACCAAGGAATGAGCATCAGTTTGTCCATGACATAGGTGTACTGTGCTCTTGTCATAGCTTTAGTAAAAAGGTTTGCAATCTGGTGTCCAGAAGAGACATGAGGGAGAGAAATATGGCATACAAGATGGAGGTCCCTAATAAAGTAACAATCAATTTCAATATGCTTTATATGCTCACAGAACACAAGATTGGAAGCAATCTTTGATAGCACTGAGATTGTCAGCAAAAAGTGGAACAGAAGACTGGAGGTCAATATGAAGGTCATGTAAGAGAGCCTTAAGCTAAATAATCTCATTTCAGACAGAGGACATGGCCCTATACTCCGCTTTAGTAGAAGATTTAGAAACAATAGATTATTTTTTACACTTCCAAGATATTAGCGAATCCCCTAGAAATACACACCAACTAGTAATCAGCATCAGCAAAGGCAGAAAGATGGAGAGATGATGATGATGATGAAAAGAGTAGGCCCTGAGATAAAGTCCCTTTTAACATATCTAAGGATACAATAAACAACTGATAAGTGTGGTTGTCGAGGAGAAGACGCAAAGTGGCTCACAACCTGCAGACCATATGAGCTATCTAGGCATGTCATAGTGAGATAAATCAAGCTGCCCACTAACTGGCGATAAAGAGTAGGATGTTTAAGGAGAGGACCAAAATCCTTACTGAGTTTCAAATTGATTTCCAAGGGAGTGTCAACCAAGTTAGAATTTAGTGAGATTATCTATCTGGACAAGGCCTGTGACAAAGTATGTTGCACCTCCAAACCCAAAAGATAAGTCAAATGAACAAAGTCCATCTTAAAGGAGTCACTCAAGTCTCTTCAAATCAACAAGCCCTTCTCGATCATCTCTTGTAATGATAATATCATCAACATACAACAGAAGCATAGTCATTCCCTAAGGCCGATGTAAGGAAAATAGAGAATAATCTGAGAGGCTCTGAATAAATCCAACACCAATGATGACAGGCCGAAATCTCTCAAACTAGGATCTAGGAGCCTGTTTAAGACCATACAATGATCTCTTGAGATGACAAACAAGACAGGAGTTATTGCAATACAATGCAGGAGGCTTCATAGACGTTCAATTCCCCATGAAGAAAAACATTCTTCACATCCATTTGATGAATCTCCCATTGTTTAATTGTAGAGATAGCGAGAAGTAATTGAACACTAGTCATCTTTGCCACCGGTACACGTGTCTCATAATCTATCCCATACTCTTGCTTGTAGCCTTGAGCAACAAGACAAGCTTTATATCAATCAAGGCTCCCATATGATTTCAACTTTATAAGATAAACCCATTTGTCACCAATAACAATAGCATTGGGAGTAGGTGGGAAAAGCTCCTAAGTGTCATTTTCCAAAAGGGCTTGAAGTTTAGTGTCCATGGAATCATTCCAACGGGGAATAGCAGCTACCTTGTTGGTAAGACTTAGGAATATTTGTAGAGAATAGCACAACAAAAAGAGAGCTATGGTTTGAAGGAAAACCATAGCGGTCAGGAGGTCGAGAAACTCTAGTTGAATGACATAAGATAGGAACAAATGATGGACAAGAGAACTTACAGGAGCTGATGGCATAGATGGACCAGTATCCGATGATGAAGGAAGATGCATAGGGGCTGGAGCAACTGGCAACTTCTAGAAGGTCTGAAGAGGCTTCAAAAGAGATGTGGAGGCTTCTGAGGAATCTATAGAGTCAAAGTTGTGTAATAGAGATACAAAAGGAGCAGGCAGCATAACAATATGTTCATAGAAAGATATATTCTCAAGGAAAATAACATTGCAATATATTCGAATGCAATGAGGTTTGGGATCATAGCAAAGAAATCCCTTATGATTAGGATTATAGCCCACAAAAGCATACAAGGCAACTTGAGCAATTAACTTAGTGTTCTTATGGTGGGAGGTGAACAAAACAAACAAAACCAAAAACACAAAACATGGAAAAATCAGAAGGGTGATCAAAAAGAGACTAGAAGGGTGAAGAATTACCTAGAACTGATGAAGGAAGAAGATTTATCAGATGCATAGCAATGTTGGGTGCCTCCACCCAAAACCAAACAGGAACATAGGAATCTTACAATAAGGTACTGACAACACTCAAGATGTGTTTATCCCTTCGTTCTGCCACCCCATTTTATTTGAGGGGTACCAGTACATAATTTTTGGGATCAAATGCCTTGTTGTTTCAAGTAGTTTTGAACGTCTTCATCAGAATACTCTCCCTCTAAGTCAGAGCGAATGATGCATATATTAGATTTGAACTGAATAGCAACCTAAGCTTAAAAATTCTTGAAGGTTGAGAAACTTTTGATTTCTTGCAAAGGAAGAAAATCCAAGTGAAGTGGGTACAATCATCAATAAAAGTCACAAAATATCTACAGCCCAATCTAGATACAACTAAACATGACCAAACATCACTATGCATTAATTGAAATGGAATAGTTGCATGTTTAGAAGAAGGAAAATGTAGAACATGACTCTTAGACAAGGAACAAATAATGCAAGTTCTATTAGTATCCCTAAAAGAAGTAACAAAGGATGGAAAACTACTAGAAGCAAACAAAAAATCTAGTTTGTTAGAATAAGGATGACTAAGGTATCTATGCCATAAAAATCTAGTTTCTTAGTAGTTTCAAAACAAGGAGTAGTAGAAAGTAAACAAGAAGAAAATATGGAGGAATCCTTCTTCTCAAATTCCAAAGCAAACAGTCGATATAGTCTATGCCCCTTCCCTTTCACCTCTCTTATTTATTGGTCCTGTATCAAACAACCTTCATAAGAGAAATAAATAGTGTTACCATCTTCAAAAAGTTGTCCAATAGAGATCAAATTAGTTGTAAGCTTAGGCACAAATAAAGTTTTGGGTAGGTAAAAGTGAGAGGACTTAGAGGTAGACAAAAACAAATCATCACCTCCAAGAATATCTTTTTTTTAACCATTAGCAGTCACAATGTGTCTACTAGAGAAGGTTTAGGGGACTAACAGAAGGAAGCCCCTATCATATGATTAAAGGCCCCAAAATCGTTGACCCAACGATGATAAGGTGAGACACAAAAAAGGAAGACTTATTAGACAGACCAATTGTAGAGAATGCATAATAGATAGCGGTGGACATAAGTTGGCAAATCTTTTCTTCAGTCATGACACCTAAAGTTGAAGGGATGAGATATCCATCACATGGACGCCCAAGTCTTGCGGAATGGACTGGGCGAATTTCAAAAATTTCTCCCATCTTTGCAGGGAATCGAATTCCCTATTTTAAAAATATTTTAAGGATCAACCTTGAACCATAAACCAAACCAGATCTGAACCAAAAGGAGTAGGAGGGAGGATGTACCTGATACGAAGAAACAGTATCTCC